CACCGTTCCTGTCTCTGGGGTTTAGCGACTAATAGTAGGCAGCCTCCCACCCCTGCCAGCTCTCCTCCACTCTTGCATTGAAAGAAATTGGGGTGGGTGGGCAGAGAAATGTCACAGAAGTCCCTGGAAACAAACCCCAAAGCTCCCAGGTCTGAGAAACCTAGCTACCAGAAAGGACCTGGGTCTTGCCATTCATTATCTGCTTTCTGTTTACAGACCAGTAATCGAAGCCCAGTAATCCAATAGCCTACTCATACCACAAAATTGTGTTCTAGCTAATACTGGGTGGTGGAAAGCTACCCAAAGACTGTGACTGTGAGGCACATAAAGGATGATAATGCAGTGGTGAGAGTACTAATTTGATGGATTAAGATCAGTGTTCCCTCTAAGCTGAATCGGTGTGAGCTAGCTCACAGTTTTTTAGCCTCCGGCTCACACGTTTTTGTCTGAGCTCAGGAAGGAGGTTCTCTGGAGCAAACTAATTGATGCAGGAGCCAAATTGCTCGCTTACAACTTTGATGCCGGTAGCTCACAAGGTAGAATTTTTGCTCACAAGACTCCACAGCTTAGAGGGGACATTGATTAAGATCAGTAGAAAGGAGTGAAACAGTTCTTCCATCTGAATTCCCTTATTTCCATTTTCCCTGGTTCAACACTGAAAATCTCTGTAAAGTGATCCAATAACTAGATGGACACATCCAGCACCCTGTTTTACACAGCAGCCAAGCAGCTGGCCCAGAGGGCCAACAAACGGGATGTAGAGGCCAAGGCCTTCCCTGAGGAAGCTTCCTACCACAGGTATTCTGAGGCTGACTGCCCCGGGTGTGAAGTCACCCTTGTAGTCATCCTGGCTAGTAACCACTGAGCACTTCTCCACCAGGAATCTAATACCCATCCAAAACCATCCATGCTCATAGTGATGGCCACTGGCAGTGAACTGAATCACTCATTGACTAAAGATGTATTTATTTTTGTCCATCCTGAGTCTATATGCCCATCAACTACACTGGAGTTCTAGCATGATAGCATGGGGGAGAGGGGGTTCTCTCTATCCTCTCCCTATACCACATGAACAGTTTTATAAACCTCTGTCATGATCTCATTAGTCAACTTTTCTTCTGATCTTTAATGTTCCAGACTGTTCATTCTTCCCTCACAGGAACAGTGCTCCAACCTCCCAGTCATGCTGGTTGCCCTCTTCTGTACTTTTTTCATCTCTGCAGTATCCTTTTTGAGATATGGTGATCAGAAGTGTACATGAATTCCAAATGAAACTGCACGAGGCATTACAGTATTGGCCATTTCGTTTTCAGTTCCCTTCCTAATCGTCTCCAGCGTGGAGTTTTCCCTTTTCTCCCCTGCTGCATAATGAGTCAATATTTTCATGGAGCTATCCATTACAACCCTAAGATTACTTTCCGTCTCATTGTCAGCCAGCTCAGACTCCATTAGCGTATATTTAAGGTTAGCATTTTTTGTTCCACTGTGTATCACCTTACTCTTACCTATACTAAATTTCATTTGCCACACTGTTTCCCACTCACCCAGTGTAGAAAGATCCTCTTGGAGCGCTCTACAATCCACCATGGTTTTCACCATCCTGAATAATTCACAAACTTGGCCACCACACCGCTTACCCTAATTCCAAATCAGGGCTCTTTTTGTAGAAAAAGCCCAGCAGGAACTCATTAGCATATGAGGCCACACCCCCGACAGCACAGCTCATTAGCACATTAGACCGCACCCCCATGTTATCAGAAGTGTGGTTATCCAGGCACACCCACCTTTTGCTTGTTATTCTGTTTACCTTGTTTGTTGTCAAAACCCAGGGCTTTTTTGTAGCAGGAACTCCTTTGCATGTTAGGCCACACACCCCTAACATAGCCAATCCTAATTAGTTTCTGCTGTTGGGTGTGGCCTATTATGCTAATGAGTTCCTGCTGGGCGTGGTCAACTTGGGAGCCAGCGGGAACTCCGTTCCTGTGCGTTCCTGCCCCTGCCCAAAAATAGCCCTGTTCCAAATAATATACAAATGAATTAAATTGCACTGGTATACATACTGGTCTTTGTGGGACTCCACTACTCAGTTCCTTCCATCGCAAGACCTGCCTGTTTATCCCTACCCCTTGCAATTTAACCAGTTTTTAATCCCATGATCGCTAAATTTATTCAGGAGTCTTTGGTGAGGCACCTTGTCAAAAACCTTTTAGAAGCCCAAGTATATGATGTCTACTGGGTCACTGTTGTCTACCAAATCACTCTTGTCCACATATTTATTAACCTTCTCAAAGAACTCCTTTGTCAGATGGTACACTGATTTTCCCTCAACATGCCTTGTCTCTTTATGTGTCTAATAACTCTGTCTTTGATTACAGCTTTCAGGGCTCTTTTTGTAGAAGAAGCCCAGCAGGAACTCATTAGCCACACCCCTGACAGCACAGCTCATTGGTATATTAGGCCACAACCCTTGGCTTGCCTCGGCGCCCTGTGGCTGTGGGGAGCCTGGGGTAAACTGGCCCTTGAAGGGATGGGAAGGCAGTTTAAACTGTAGCCATGCACATAGAGGTTTTGGCTGTAGTGGGTGTGGCTAACTCTGAAGCCAGCCGGAACTCCGTTCCTGTGCGTTCCTGCCCAAAAATAGCCCTGCAGCTTCTGCTAATTTATCTGGAGCAGACAGTAAGCTAAGTGGCCAGTAATTTCCTCGATCCCCTCTGGACCCTTTTTAAAAATTCGGTTAACATTTGCTACTCTCCAGTCCTCTGGTACAAAGGCTGATTTTAGTGACAAGTTACGTATACCAGTTCATACATCAACTTTATTTCTCATGAAATCAAGAGGGATGGATTTTTTTTTAGGGTTGAGGATTGTGCAGTTAACACATACAGACGTTTGTCATCACAAACAGCCACTCAGATTTGTTTTTACCGAAGCTGGATTCCAAATACAAAGTTAGTCTGTGGATATTTTCAAATAGTGATTATGGGCTCCTGTTCTTTAAAATGTACAGCCATCATATCATACCAATTTAACATGCCAAGTTAAATGCTTTAAGACAACCCTTCCTTGTGGCCACTGAAACCATGCCAACTTCGCCAAAGTGTATTCATTCTCAACACCTGTTTCTCAACTTTCAAAGCAGGGCAACAAAGAGCTTCCTTTGGCAGAGAAACTTTGAGTGTCAGACTGTGTAGACTGATGCCAGAGTATATTTGTTGAACTGAGTGCAGAAGAACTAGATCTTGGGCTATAATACAAGCCAACCGCTCCATTGGTTTCAATCACCCTGAATGCCAGCAGAAAATGGCAAAAAATATTGTACTCATTTTAATAATATACTTTATTGCCATTGTACATAGTACAACGAAATTAAGGTGCAATCATTCGGTGATCTACAAGCATACTCATATACACTCACACAACCATACTCATATACACTCACACAACCATTAGGGTTCACATTGCAACTTAACCACCAATGTCAACAAAACCACCAAATTCCAATTTTGCCTAAATTCTTAAAGTCCTTTGGTAACACTGAGATGGTGGTTGTCTAGCTGGATTATTTGGGACAGGGTGGCCTTGCACATAGCACATTCCCAGCTGGGCCACTCATTTATCCCATATAATTTTCTTGAAGCAGACCTGTTTGCATTGAAGCATTTCTGTTCCCACCCAAGAATCTCCCCTCCCACACACAAAAGTTGGAGTCTTCATGAGAGTGTTTTCCACCTAATCATCCTAACATAATCCTGGACATAGGAAGTGGAGAACTTTCCGTTACTATGATCATGAGAATGGCAAAGAGACGGAAGGGGCCAAGAAGCAATTTAATGATGTTATTTACTGAAGAAAGCTGTTATTTGTAAATAGGAAGACATTCTGAAATAAAAAAACCAACTAATTCTTTACATACATGTTCACTATGCTAACAGTTTGCAGACATGAAAAACAGAGATTTTGGGCTTAGCAACAGGGTTTTATAGGCGTCTGTTATAAGGAAATCCTTCCATTCACTTCTTTAAAGGGCCAACTGGAAATGGAACTGCCCCCTGCCTGCCTTTATTCTGCAGCGAGAAGGGCTCATTTTGTAGCAGGAACTCCTTTGCATATTAGGCGACACACCCCTAATGTAGCCAATCCTCCAAGAGCTTACAGAGCTCTTCTTACAGGGGCTAGTGTAAGCTCTTGGAGGATTGGCTACATTAGGGGTGTGTCGCCTAATATGCAAAGCAGTTCCTGCTACAAAAAGAGCCCTGAGAGATGATCCCGTTTATTACCCTCACAACAACTCTTCTGTTGTAAGGGTTAGCCTGAGAGACTGCCCCAAATTTATGTCACTGAATACTCTTGGTAGCTCAGCAAGATTTTGGTGTCCCGACTCGAAGATGTTATATGTGACTCAGAAATACATACTTGAGGGTTGTTTGGGTTTGTTTTCTGAATACAACACAGATTCCCATATGTATGTTTCATTTGCATTACCAAGTGATTACTTGCATGTGTGAATAAGCAGACAGAATTCTCCCAACTTCCTTCAATGTAACGCTTTTCCTGGGTTTCAGTTTTCACATTCAGCTACAAGTAATCAAACTTGGGTCACCAAGTGGGCTGGGAAATGGAGGTAGTTGTGTGAATGAATTAATGAATGAATGAATGAAGCAAGGCGTTTGACCATTTCTCTGCAAACCATCCTGGCTGAAAATGTCTCTGGCTGCCGCTCAATGGTTTTCATAAGCTGAGTACAGAGCTGGGGAGACAGCTGCAATTCTTGGAATTAGTGTGGTCTTCCAGAGAAGTTAGTTTTAATGTGTGGGGGGGGAACTCTAACAGGAAACCCTATTCTGTGGGAACTAGGAGGAGGAGCTTCTGGAACTCTGAACCCGGCCAGTGTGTTCCAGGATGGATGCGTGCTCATAATAGGTTGCCAAGGCGCCAGGCAAAGGAAACATGCACGAGGAGCCTGAGCAGGGTGGTGTATCGGCAGCTGACCAACGCTGACCATGGCCAGTGGGTACCAGCTATGGGGTCCCTGGTCCCCGCTGGATGAGTCCCTACAATGGCTGCGGGGTGCTGTGCCCAGGCCCAGCGGCACCAAACACCCTTTCCGTGGTGGGCAGAGCCCAGCCACCGCCACTGATCTTGAGGTGCCGCCTTGTTTCCAGGGACTCAGCCTGGTGCTGGAGCCCAGCACGAAGACAGGAGCTGGGCAACCCCAACCCCCTGGGGCAGCGGGAGAGACGAGAGGAAGCGGCGGGACAGTGCGCAAGCCTCAGGCCGTGCGGCTCACGGGGCTCGACTCTGTGTTTGGGCACTTTGTGACGGCACAGCCCCCACACTGGACTGGCTCGCTGCGGGTTTCAGAGCGCTCAGCCTTTTGTCAGGTCATAAGCTCCCAGCAACGTTGGCCCCGTGGACTCCAGGAGCCGCAAGTGCGCATGGCTATGGCCATGTGCCGCCAAATGCTGCGTGCCATCCTCCTGCTTTACGCTGCCTACAAGAAGTGCGCGTTTGCACTGCAGCATTCCCGTTAAGACCTGGCCTGGCTGGAAAAGGGCAGGGCAAAATGGGATCCTTAGCCTGCCCAGAAGATAACCTTACACCCACACATGCCCCTCCATCCACCCGCATGTGCCCTGGCCAGCAGACCATCTATTCCAGCAATTCTTGGAAAACCATTTCCCCCCCCCTCCATGCCTAAACTAAATTTCTGCCACCAAGAGGGGAAAAAAAATTGACTTAACCAGCAACAGATTGTAAGGCAAATGATCCAGAGTGGCATGAAAACTTCAGACTGTTTGCAGAGACAAAACTGATCATATTGTCAACACTACCTTGCAAAGAAGAGGGTCCCAGGCACCATCTGGCTGATGAATGGAAGAAACAGACAAATAATATTTGACTTCCAAGAAAAAAGACTTTATAAATAAATGAAACAAGAACACAAATGGAGATCAAACAAGTTTACAGACATCCTCAATAAGAGACCATATTCAGACAGATATTTTCAAGAAATTGAGATGCCACCAGGTGGAAAGGTTATCCCCCCCAACCACCTGAAAAAAGCTATCTACGTATAATTTTTCAATATGACTAGTAAAAGCAGCTGCACTACTGGATGGGGCCTACACAAAGAACAGCAATATTTTAAAAGTGGATACGGAAATGGATTTGTAAAGGAAACAGAGTGTGCATTTTGAATACAGGAAATAAAATTGTTCTGGTTCTAGTGAAGTAAATAACCAACTGGAAATTATTACTTAAACCAACAATATAGATGATTCACTGAAAACAGCAAGAATATCTTCAGATTGCCAAATGGGAGTAATTCAAAGACCATTCTATACAGAGTATGATTTACAACCGATGAATGAAATATGCGCCTTCCTGGTCACATCCTTATATTTGACACCAAGATGAAGTAATTGTACAAAAAGCACTTCTGAGTGCTAGAATTTTAAAAGTAAAATAACTGATTATTTGTTTATTTCAATAGATGCCACTTGCAGCAGCTGGATATTTACTATTCAAAATACAGGACCCCCCCATGAAGAATTTATTTTGTGGTGGTATTTGTTGTTGTTATGAACGGGCTGGAAAACTCTTTGCTTAAAGCCACACAGTCCCCAGATTCCATTCATCATGCAAAAGCTTGAAATCACAAAAGAGCCACTGTCCCCCAAATGTTTATTTTAATTTTTCAGCCATTCGGCACCTTGAATCTGACCAAGCTTTGAAGGAGACAAATTGCATTTTTGCCTCTTCAATGAAGAGAAAGAAAAGATTGGGGTAGGTTAACAACAGATCCTCCACCTCCAATGTATCAGAATTCTATCTTCTAATGCGTCAAATGGAAGCAAGATTCAGCAACATGGAACTTTGCAGCTCATTGATGGCACCTATGAGAAGCTACTTGCTTTGGCCTCGTCTGGCTGAAAATCAACTGCTAATGTTCAAAGGGACCACCAGTTAGATTGGTGCTATTCTAACTCTCTCCCACAGACAGTCTTGACTCACAGCACACAAAAATATAAAAGGATATCTTTCAACACCAAACAGACCCACACTATTCGAAAAGTGCTGGTTGACTTTATAAATTAATGGTGTGACTCACCAAGGACACCAACCAATGAAACCCCATGGTAACTTAAAGCAAGGCCTTGGACATACTGCATTTTATACAGACCAACAGGTTGGATATGGAGGTCAATGATCATTTATTGAGTTGTTTTAAGATATATCCCAAATGTACTTTCCTTTATAACTTTAAATCTTAAGAGTACAATTCCCTCTAATGATTTATGAGGAATGAAGGGAGGGGAAAATGTTTACCTTCATAACTAATTGGAATGCATCCAGTTTGGTACATGTCAACTGTTTACAGAAGTTCATAATGACTGCTCAGCAACAGATGTATAGGATTCAATTCTAATGGCTGGATATGGACTTTGAACAGTATGTTCTAAAATTCCAAACGGAAATCCTGATTTTTATTAACCAACGACAACATCAGTTTGACAGCATTAATGCATGTTAACCCACTCAAGTATCCTCAGAAACCAAGCTGTCCACAGAAAATGAAGACAGAGGCCTGTTTTAAAGGAACACATGGGGACAAAAACCCTAGCTGTAGCAATATGTACATCAGGCCTGGATCTGTGTTGGGCCATTCAAAATGGAGTCACTACAAAATAGTTATAGTTGACAGAGGAAATTTACAGAAGTCATAATTGCCTTACACAAAGTAGAACACCTTGAATTTAATCTCTCTCTCTATATAAGATGAAAGTACACCAACAGTCTCTGTGCTTTGCCTTGAACTGAAACAAAAATTCATGCTTCTAACTAAATGGGTAAGACAAGTAAGAAGATCTTCACCTGGGTATTCAAAGGGCCAAACGTGACATGACTCATCTACAACCAACAAATGCAGTTTGTAAACAAGCTATCTCATACGACATCTTTGCCTTATCAGCATTTGAAAAGAAAGCCCTTTGTGATAGGTTTTTCCCCCCTCTCTGCAAATGGAACCAGCTTTTCAGAAACGTATCTTTGCCTTGCAACATTCAAAGTAAATTGTATGGATCTGCATTCCTCGAACACAATGCAGTTTATTTTAACTCAAACTTGACATTTAGAAAAAATAATAATAAAAACCCTTAAGGTACAGTATTGTCTGAAATTTATAACAGCAGCTTCCTTAAATAGTTTTCTGGAGGGGAAATGTGCCTCCCTCCCCCCCCCTTCTTTAAGTGGTGTGTCTAAAAACCATAGCAAATGTTAATCAAGGTGTAGTCCAAGTTTGAACAAAATTATACATTAGGAGAAGAAGGTAGTTGGTTAAAATGAGCAGAGGAATAGTACATACTGAAATGGACTTTTGAGCTTAAGCACCTTACCTTGTCCTCCTGTCCTCCATTTTACCCTCCTAACAACCACGTGAGACAAGGTAACCTGAAAGGATATGACTGGATTAGGGTCACCCAGCAAGCTTCCCTAGCAGAATGAGGATTTGAGCCCAGGTCTCCCAGGTCATAGCCCAACACTTCAGCCACTATAACATACCGGCTAGCTCTGATCCAACCGAGCCCAATTGAATTACCCCCAGACCTCAAGCAGAACTCCAAACTCTCTCCAGAGTCAGGAGTTCCACTCCTAAAAAATTGGTAGGGCCAAAAGGCAACTAGGAAAAGCCTTTCTGCAAACCCCCAGACAGAACATACCCAAACAGGTATGTAACCAAAAAGGTTTATTTTATGGTGCAAAGCAATACCAGTACACTGCACAAAAGAAAAAGAAAAAAGGTTTTTAATCACTAACTAAGTTACCTTGGATGATACCACACCAGTTATTCACAGCAGTTCTTGAAGCACAAATAACAGCAATCTGCTTACCGCAGTTCAGGCCACCAAAAGTTCAGTCCATCCAGCAGAAGTTCAGGGTTTTCCCCAAATGGAAAACAATAGTACCCTATAGCATCCAGCTCAGGGTCTAAAGTCAGATGACAACGATAAAAAAGGACTTCATTTTTAACTCCTTCTGGAAACACCTGACCCCCAGCACTAATTGTCAATTGGACCTAGCAACCAGGTTCACCTGATCCCAATATCCCACCAAATCAGAGCTAGGCAACCAACTAGTGGTCTGCAGGTGGCCTTATTAACCCTTTTCAGGCTCAAGGACCAAACACCAGGCTTCTACAAGGAACTAAACACAACTAATCAACTAAAAAATTAAAATAACCCCCGGTTACTACATATGGGATGGCAACTTTATTATAAAGCATGAGCATCAACTGGAGGATCAAGTTATGCAGCAGACTACCACTGTCTAGAGGATACAATGGCTCCTGAGAATATGGGAGTTGTCAGTCCCTGCTTTCAATATTCTAACTTCCTTAATCTTCTTGATGTACCCATGTGTCAACCTAACCATGTGAAACAACACTCCATTTATCCATAGTAATATGCAAATGTTTCAGGTGCCCCCACAATCCCTTTGGATAAATGAGAGTGAATGTAGCCTCACCTAAGTTTTACTCTTTGTTGGAAGGATTAGCAGAACTAGTGAAATCCAGTGGAGAAATAAGTATCCTCTGTATTTCCTTTCTAAAAGTCAACAATCAACAGCGGCCTGTCATCCTGCAGTATCCTAAGCCCTTTTCAGACATTATGTCCATACATACCATAGATCCCTCAACTACACAGAAATCCTTCCAGTATGTGTGGTAGCCATGTCTAAATATGGGGGACGTGCATATTTGTATGGAAGTACAGCTTTGGTATGCACAAACCGACCAGTGAATTTTTCAGCGTTGTACCAAAGCATGTGTCAAAGTATTGTGGGTTATGAGTGCTCCTGATACATGTGGCACTAGGTGCCTAATACCTGTTGCTATAATGTCTGGAAAGGGTTATACTCAGGGCTATTTTTGGACAGGAACGCACAGGAACGGAGTTCCGGCTGGCTTCAGAGTTGGCCATGCCCACTACAGCCAAAACCTCTGAGTGTGTCGCTATAGAGGGAAGGCCTACAGAGCAACACCACCACCACCCCGGCAACTCCAAGGCCTGGAAGGATTGAGGGGGCCTGGAAGGATTGGGGAGGCATTTAAATGCCTCCCTGTGCCTTCCCCGGCCTGTCCAAGTTTAAACTGCCTCCCCTCCCCTCCAAAGTCCAGATTGCCCAGACTCCCCGCAGCCACAGGACACCCAGGCAAGCTAAGGGAAGGCAGTTTAAACTGCCTTCCCTTCCCTTCAAGGGAGGACTTGCCCGGGCAAGCCAAGGGAAGGCATGAGGTGTGGCCTGATATGCTAATGAGCTACCCTGTCAGGGTGTGGCCTAATATGCTAATGAGTTTCTGCTGTTGGGTGTGGCCTATTATGCTAATGAGTTCATGCTGGGGGTTTTCTACCAAAAAAAGCCCTGGTTATACTATAGTCAGGGATTAGATAAGAGAGAAGCAACTGAGGTGGAGTCCACTTGTTTTATGGCTCTATGAGCTGCCTTGAGGTGGTTACCTTAAACAGCAGGT